CACCACGATACAGATGCTGTATATATTTGGAGGCTATTTTGAAATTGAGAATTGAATCATATATTAAAAAGCAAGACTCACACTTCTCAGAAAAAGATACTTTTATTCTGAGAGGCATATGGAAACTGAAAATGAGGGAGACTCAGATCTTCTACACACATTGAGACCTAGGTTCTTTGAGTGTAATTGTCCACATTATTTTAAATGTTAATTCTCTTTAGTCTCTTGATTAGCATATGTAGATGAATTTATCTAATAAGTTTATATGATACATATAAACTTCACCATAGTGTGACATCACAGATTAGGGAAAGCTTTTCTCATCTTGGGAGAATCAGGGCAATTTATTATTGCTTATTGACTATTATTGGTGGTGGATAAAAATCCAATCTTATAAGTAAAAGAAAAATAAAATAGATAAATTAAAGAAAGGTAGCTTTTATTTAAAATTTCACATATCCTTGGGACGCATGGGCCTCAACTAGGAGTCTAAACACTTTCGGGACTCCTGCTCTAACTACATTACAGCCTTTTTCTCTGTTGTTGGATTCAGGTTTTGAATGACTTATTGTGGGAACTTGGCTTCTTGCAGCTGCCATGCCTCCTGTAGCATAGCTAAGTCATCAAAAAGGAGCTGCATCTCTTTATTTAGCCAAATAAACAAAATCATGAAGATGGACTATTTGGCATGGCTTGGACTGAACAGGTCAACAGGGATCGGGAAGGATAAAGCTACAATTAGGACACTCACTAGAATCATATATGGTAGAAGTGTGGGAGAAATAATTCCTCTCCAAATGGAGTTTGGTCTCAAAGAATGAGTACCTAGAGTGAAAACCGAAGTCTTTAGTCTTAAACAATAATTTAAAAGATAAGGAAGAATCTATTACATGTGTGTGTGTGTGTGTTTTAGGAAATATTCTGTGCAAATGAAATTGGAACCTGGAAGTCAAGTAGGCAAAGGAAAGCATGATGTATCAGAGGAGACTGGCAGGTAGAATGTAAATCGTGTACAGGACAAGCACTGTGTTAGAGGATGAGGTGCATGTAGCAAGAATATGGAATGTGTCACAGGAAATGAGTTCATGAAGAGTTGTTTTTAAAAAAATTTCTCAATTTTATTTTTAAATTAAAATATAGTTGTACAATATTATATGTTATAAGTGTACAATATAATGATTCACAAGTTTTAAAAATTATGCTCCATTTATAATTATTATAAAAATGTTGGCTAAAAAATGAAAAAATATTGACTATATTCCCTGTGTCATCAATATATCATTGTAGCTTAGTTTATACTTAATAGTTTGTACCTCTCATCCCCCTACCCCCCTTATGCCCCTCCCCCTTCCCTCTCCCCAGTGGTAACCACTAGTTTGTTCTCTGTATCTGTGAGTCTGTTTCATGCAATTCTCAGAAGTTTGAACTTCATCTTGGAGTTTACAAGATATATTTATATATTTATTTTTGTCTAAACTAGGACAGCAACATTATCAGATTGCATTTTGCTTTTTGCCGAGCAGTCAGGTTGGCAGTGGTTATTGGATGGGTCGGAGGCAGAAAGTCTTTTTTTGGTGAGAGAGGATGAGAGAGCTTCACCTAGGTAATTATAAGGTGAATAAAAGGAAAGTCAACAAGTCCTGCAAGCTTATTTTATTTGAAGGAAATGGTAAGTCAAATAGGAGACCTAGTTTGGATTTGGCCAAATGAGTGAAAGATTCTATTATTCCGAAATAGTGTGATATTCTTCCTCACTTGCCCAAGACTGCCCAAGTCCTCCTGCGTTGTCACAGCATAGGTATTAGTGACCCCTTCCACTCGCAAGTGTCTTGTTTTGGTCATTAGATCTTAGAGAGTAAGACTACAGAAGTAGAAATGGGTTTGAGGAAGAAAATAATAAACTATTTTAGGGTATATATTTGTGCCACATCCAGTTGCAAATGATGATATTAATTTGATAAATGCTCCAGTATACTGTAATTAATTTGCCTATATTGATTATATCAG